TTTTTAATTCAATGACCTACTATGGCTGTTGCTGTTTTCCTGGTGTGGCATTGCAGGTTAATGCATTGGAATGCAAGCTTGGTTTGAACCTACAAGTCCGAGTTTCAAGCTTACTAGCTGCTCCTTGAAAAACGTTATACAGGGTTGCTATGAGTTGGAACCTACTCCTAGGCATTTAACAACAAAAAACCCAAGTGTTAAGCTAATTTGAGTCTAGGCTAGCAATAATATAAACTACTTATTTCAGACATTTCCTCACTTCTTACCCTTGAAAGACAGTTTTTTTCTCATACTCATTGAAGAAAAAAATGAATGATTGAAGAAAATTGGCTTCAACTTGGAAATGTAAGTTTGCCTAACAAATCTGCCATAGGACTTCCAAGGGATTTAAAAGAGCTAATTAATTTTCTATTAAAATATGAAAGTAACCTATAGTTAAACTTTGATTATACTTCTGAATGGAATGAGGTATTAATATAGAGGATCCAAGACCTATTTATGTGCTTGGATGTTAGATTGGTCTCACTGAGACTCTGGATTGCTGAGTCATAGGCCAATTGTATTGAAGGGCAACATCTTTCAAATTATATGAATTCCACAATCTGGGAGAAATTACTACATAATCAGCTTCCCTAGTTGCATTTTACCTGAACCAAAACTTCCTTGCAAATGAAGAGTCAATGTTTTGGCCTGAATTTCAATCTGTAAATGATATTCAGTCTACAACATTTGTTCTTACTCACTTGTATTCTGAGTCCACTGTTAAAATTAAAAGGGCTAACTAGATAAATGCAAGTGCCATTGAGTTAGTTCCCTGGATACCACAGAGGGAAATATTGTCCAATCCTCAGCCATCCTCACAGTTGTTACGTTTGAGCTCATTGCTGCTACCACTGTGTCTATCTACCACATTAGAAGGGCTTCCGTATTTTCTGTTAACCCTCTCCTTTACCAAGCATGATGTTACTCTCCAGGGACAGTTACATGTAATAGGAAATATAAAAGCTTGAATTCTGGCTGAGGAAAAATAAAAGAATAGGAACATATTGTGACTTGAATAATTTGTGCAACAGGTAACTGAAGAAAGGAAGACTGATGTGAACTTGGGCTATATTTGAAGTCTTTAATGACAAGATTGGTTCCTTCAAACAGTAAAAGATTTCCAAGAATTATTAAAATGTCCAGTTCAGATAACTGTCCAAACAAATGTTAATTTAATTAAATATAACTTAACTTTTAAAGAAGGGTAACATTAACATAGATTCAGGAAATTTGGAAAACTGGATGATTCTAAGTCCAAGCAAAGAAATAAAATGAAGAAGGCCCTAAGTTAGTGGGTAAAGGTTTTAAATGCTTTCCAGTCGATATTGAATGAATGCAAACAATGCCATCAAGTTCAAGTCATCCTTTCAGGATTGTAAGGAATGGGACCAGAAGAAGAAAGGAGACATGCCCATAGTTGGTAGAAATAATAATTCATATTCCATAGCTCTGATCTTACCAACTTCTTAAGCATTAATTTTTTCTTTAACTCAAACCTAGATTTCACTATGTGTGTGAACTACACAAACATGAGAGAAAAAAAAAAATCCTACTGGACCTCAGCTTTTTTATTTCCAAAGTTAAACATCTGAAATCCCTCATATTTCTGACTTTCTATGATTTTGGAAAACATTTAGCCTAGGTCAGAACCCCATAGTTACTAGAGATCAAGTGGGAAAGTATAAAATTGATATGCTAAGTTATGTTTCCCAAGCTGATATAAAAGTATAAATTGATTAGTTATATTAATTCTATATGAATGCAATCACATAAAATTACAAGCAAAACAAAAAAGCTACTTTACAATTAGCTCTTTTTTCAATTATTATTTTGAATTTGGAATTTTTTCATTAATTTTTAATATGTCACATTTTTACTAAAAAATTAAAAAACACACAGGAAAAACATTTCAAGAAAAAGAATAGCTTTACTATTGGTCACAAATACTAGGCAGATGAATTTTAGGAGACCCTAGAATTTAACTTTTAAGACATTTTAAAGGTATTAATAATGAAATTTTGTGTTTAAACACTAAGAGTTTTCACAAGAAATTTAGGGAATCAATGTCAGAATTATTTTTATGTATCATTAATGAAAGAAATTATCACCAAAGATAATATAAATTCAAGCATATATTTTTTATTCCGGATGTTGTTTCTGTTGTTAAGTCCTGTGGAGTTGGTTCTGACTTATGTTGTTGTTGTTAAGTGCCGTGGACTTGGTTCCAACTCATAGCGACCCTGTACAGGGTTTCTGAGGCTGTAAATCTTTATGGGAGCAGAAAGCCTCATCTTTCTCTGGCAGAACAGCCGGTATAGGGACCTTGTATATATGGACTTTCGGTGTGGCTCTGTAGAATCAGCACTAGACTGTGAACCGCAAAGTCAGCAGTTCAAACCCACCAACTACTCCATGGAAACCCTATACAGGATCACTATGATTTACAATGAGTCAGAACCAATTCCAAGGTACTTAAAAACAGCAATAACATGAGTTGTAAATAACTGGACTGCAGGATTCCAAGGCAATTAACAACAACAACAAGAACAACAAAGGGTTTCCAAGACTTTAAATCTTTGCAAGTTCAGAAAGTCTCATCTTTCTCTCATGAGCAGCTAGTGAGCATAAATCTCTTCATTTGTTGTTCACAGTTCAACGCTTATTGTATGCATGGTCCTCTTAATAAATATAAAGTATAATAAACAAATTTGAGGGTGATAAAGTGATTAAGTATATTTGAAATCTTATTGCTCCTGTTCACACCCTCCAAAGTTAATTTTTATATTTTTTAAAATTGCAGGGAATTTGAGTCCCAGAAATCTACCACCCACAAAGAAATTTAATTAGACTATAAGGAGGATTGTTTTGTGCATCGTAATTGACCATACCTCAAAGGCTTACAACTTAAAAAAGAAAAGAAAAGAAAATATTAAAATGGCACAGAACGTTACAGAATGAATTTTATTTACCTCTCACCTCAAATTCCCAGCTCTCTTTCCCCAAACAATATTAGTTAATAGTGTCTTTATTTCTCTAGAAAGAGTCTCTGTGTGCAAAAACATATATGTGCACAGTCTACATTTCTAGAGCTTTCTATATTCAAATGGGATATACAACTTTTACTTTTATAAATTTGCATACAGTTTTTACTTTTATCCTTAGTTAAAACTTAATAACCTTAATATACCTAGAAGATCATTCCTTACAAATATTCTTTTCATTTATTTCCAGGGGTGTATCATATTTATTTCATTCATGTACAACACGTTTTTGAACTTGTTGTCTATGCAAAGGCATTTAAATGGTTTCTTTTATTTGCAATACAAGAAAATGAGGTAACATCCATGCTGTGCAGATTCATGTATATATTAGAAGTAATATTATGAGATCAAAGAAAGTATACATGTTTAATTGTGAGAGATTATGACAATCTCACGTCAAAATACACTGCAACTATGGTGTGGTGCTGTGTAATAAAGCCCTGGACCCCAAGGTCAGTTTGAACCACAAGGCTGGTGGTTCAAATTCACCAGTCACTCCTTGGAAACCCTATACAGGGTGTTTATGACTGGGAACCCTCCATGACATTTAACAACATGATACCTTCTCTAACATTATATAAAAGTGTCTGTTTCCATCTTCCTCACCAGTGCTGCTTGTCATGAAATTGACTATCTTTACTAATTTTTAGTTAAAAAATGCATCTTGGTTTTTTCAAGCTGAATTTATTTATGAGCAATAGTGGTTGTCTTCTAAGCTTAGTAGCTAGTTACCTATAATTTTCTTTTATATTGATTTTATTTTAAGAATTTAGCTGATTATTAAACATGTTTTTATTAGGATTAAAGATGATGCTTTCTATGTAAGACATAAGATCAATGAATCTGGAAAAGTCTACCAAGACCTTAGAAAGAGAGGCAGAGAACATACAGGAAAAATTGACAGAGAACAATAGTGGAGGAATACATGAACAAATTACCAATAATGCTTGCTGCCCAGACTTAAAGATAAATATGGTGGTGGTCGTGGTGTACCTTCGAGTTGGTTCTGACTCATAACAAAACCCTATATAGAGTTTTCCAGGCTGTAAATTTTTACAGGAGCACAAAATAGTATATTTCTTATGCAAAACACAAATATAAGTCACATCTAAAACAGGTATACCAGACCTTGAATCTGAGCTGAATTGGCATCTCCAAGTATGAGACCCTGACATCTTTATTTAAAAACAAAACAAAAACCTTTGGGTTGATTCCAATTTGCACCTGCATATGGGTAATGCAACTCTGTGTACACTCAAATGTGGCCTTTATGATCTGAAGGAATCGAACTTGGAAGGCATGATTTGTGAATTTTGGGCCTGTTACTGACTAAGAACATGTCTTCTAACAAATCATATAACCCTGTGACATCTCAATTTCCTCCTTTGTCGAGTAG